TCCCATTCTAAAAATCAATCAATACTCTGTGTGTGTGTGTGTGTTTGTGTGTGTGTGTTGTGTGTTGGGGACCTTAAACATAAGTTAAGTTAAACATAAGTTTCTATTATACACCTTTTTGTCTTTTCTTTTCATTTCTTAGTTCTCTAGTTTTCCCTCTCTCCTTTGATAGATTGCAATCAATTAGAAGAGCTGGAGTTGACATAAGCATAAAAGAGATTGACTAATCACACCACTCATCTATCTATCTAGTGATTAAACAAACCTTTATGGAAGATGTGTACAAAGTCTCTCTCCTCATCCAAATTAAACTTTATCAAAATAAATCATCTTTGATCTTTCTCATTCCCCTTCAGTGACCTCTGGGGCAATTTTTGGTTTAGCATAGGATCACTGCATAGAATCTCTGTAAAGACTTTGCAAAAAAAATGGATAAGCAAGAGTAAAAGTGTCACCTTCCCTATGAGAAATTCCTGAAAAGGTTTCCAGGTCACAGCCCAGCCTATCTCCTAGTTAGTTGTCTAAGCACTGATTTACTCATTTGCTATTCTTTACTTTATTGACATAATTTCTCACCACACCCCTCACCCCCCATTTTGAGTAGAGATTATCCTTAAAACTGGTCTAGCTTTTTCTGTCGGTATCAGTCTTAAGTGCTCTATGCCAACTGATATTTACAAATTCAGGTAACACATCTTTATTGAGCTGCTACAAAACACTCTCCCAGTTACTGGAACTACAATTTTACATAATGATTTCTTCATGATGCCACTGAGTGAGTGAGGGATCAGACAACCTTTGATTTGCTATTTTTTCAAAAATGCAAAATGAGTAACTTAAATCATACTTTTGGATAGAAAAACAGAATGAAGAATGTAGGTCTCATAGAATAGAAGAGATTGTCTCCATTTACTGAATGTAGGAGACCAAGTTTTCTTGTTATTTGCTCATTAATTTCACTGTCTGACTTTTAAGACATTTAAGATTTTTAAGACATGTATTTAAGATACTGAGCAATGTGGATTAACAAGAAATAGTTCAAGTTTTATAGGGCTTTGAAAAACCAGACCTATAAGGAATGTTTTTAGATTTGTTGTAAGAACCAGAAGGTCAAAAAGCCTATACATGGCCATCCCCTCCCCAGTGAGCTCTTAAATTGGAAAAGCAAAAGTGACACAGATAATTTTTGTAGCCCTGGACCTCTGAGATTAAGATTTTCTTAGTCTATTGGTACCAACCCTGGGTTTAAGAGACAGAGGCTTTTTATTGATGAGTGAGTAATGGTTCTGAAGTGGTATGTCAGTAATAGAAAATGAATAGAATAGTGATTTTCTGCCAGCAAAATTTTGCTTGCTTAAAAAAATTATCTATCCAGATTTTCCCTTTAACTTTTCTTAATTTTCCTCTCCTCAATTTTATCATTGATCTATCACTGATTTACAACTGATTTACAGTTTTGTGGAATTTCAAGAGTTTAGCTTTAACCATCTATATGTGTGTAGGTGTCACCACCTCCACAATAAAATTTAAAAGATCTATTTTCTATGTGGAAACATAGTATGGGAACAATAACTTGTCCAAATCATTAGAACCTATGATTTTGTGTATAGAACTGAGATTACATGGGGGGTAATGGGAGACGGGGGAGGAAAGGCCAAGCTGGGGCCCTTGGGACAGTGTTAGAGGGAAGTAGGTTCTCTGGTGACAGGTGTGGATTTGGAATGATGGATGCATAAAAGGTATAATTAACAGTATGTAAATTTCCATACTATGAATGGTAAAAAAAATCCTAACTTTAAAAATATATATATTGTTAGACTCAGCAAGAACTTAGTTATCTCAGATGGAATCCTGGTGACCATGAGCTTCTACAAGCATGGCTCTGGCATGCGGGTACTAGGACATTTTTTCCGAACTGCAATGGGGCTGCCCCGGCTCCCAGGCAACCTCTGATTCCGGAAGCCATGCCCACAACTCGCCCCCCAGTGCCATCTTACAGCACACAGCAACAAAGAAGAAAACCGTCTGGAGGGCCCCACAGCTCCCAGAGAATGCTCCGGGCCCCAATAGAGCTGATATCACCAGGAGGTCCCAGATGTTGTAGGTGCTGCTGTCCCACCTTCTCCAGATGGAATCCCGGTGACCATGAGCTTCTACAAGCATGGCTCTGGCATGCGGGTACCAGGACATTTTTTCCGAACTGCATGGCCGCGTAAGCCATTTCCTTATATGCAAAGTGATCAATGGAAAGTAAATGACCCTGCCACAGAGGCAGGGTGGGACGGGGGGGGGGGGGGGGGGGAATGGGGGGTGGGAGGGATACTGGGACCCATGGTGGTGGAAAATGGGCACTGGTGAAGGGATGGGTGTTTGATCATTGTACAATTGAAACCCAAGCACAAAAATTTGTAAATCTACAACTGTAAAGAAATAAAAATAAATAAAAAATAAATAAATAAAAAGCAACTCATTCAAAAAAAAAAAGTGGAGGGATGGGTACTCGATCATTGTATAACTGAAACCCAAGCACAAAAATTTGTAAGTCTACAACTGTACCTCATGGTGTTTCTCTGAAAAATCTAAAAAAAAAAAGAACTTAGTTATCTCTATTTGTGGATTTGACATACCATTCCACCTCCTGGCACTGAGGGGGCATCTTTCAGCACCTAATTGGAAAACACACACTTTCCAACTATCAAACAGGTTTGCATGTGGGATTTCCCTTTGTTTCCAAATTTGCCACATTATATCCCTCCAATAACAAAGAATCTTTATTATATGACTACTATGAACTTCTGCTTACCCAGTCTTTCAGATGCTCTCCTTTAACAAAAAAAATCAAAATAAATTCACCAACCAAGTGACAAATAAAAAAACTACTGACAAGCTTTATGTTTGAATATACTCAGTTTCTGTTTTGAGAAAAGTGTACATTGATATCCATTTTACTGTAAAGTGGAATTGTTATTGGATTTGGGGTTTTGGGTTTTTATTTCTAGTTTGGGTAATTTTTTATTTTAGCTTTGATATGAGGCCTTGTTTGGAAGGCATTGGATTGTTTATTGTTGATATCAGAAAGGCTTTTAAAAAAACAATAATCTGAAAGGAAAAAACCTCCTTCAAGAGCATTTTGAATAGTACTGCAGTCTCTTTACATCTTTTTTAAAATATGACTTGGGAAACTAAAAATTCACAATAGTGCAGTTGTTAGATTGCTGAGGAATGCTGAAGCAATCTATATAATGACATGTTTTAGAATGAGTAGAAAGACTAAGACAGATCTGATTTCAAATTCTGACTCCAAACTCATTCCATTATTAAGCACTCTGGCCAAATTATTTAACTCCTTAGAGTCTCGTTATGCATAGTTCATTGCCTCACTTCCAGTGTGACTGAGAGGGTTAAATGAAATTTAGACTAATTCCTGTCATATTCATGAGAGTTGTCAATGGTCACCATTTATTTATCTTCCAGCCCTTCCTCTTCTCCTCAGTGGCCACACTTATGAGCTGCTTCCCAGTTCCCAAAGTAAGGTGACTCTGGGTATGAATATTTCCAGATTTCTGTTTATATATAGAATTCCAACAGTGCTGATAATTTTTCATGTGAATGCCAGCTGGGATCTTCTCCCAAACCAGAATGAGTCACTCCAGAGCTTTCCTTAACAGTCTAATCCTGCCTTAGAGAGAATTGGGTTGTTCTCATTGATGGCAGGAACTGGAGGGAGAGATTGCTCTGGGACGTGGGCAATGCTGATAACATGATCTCAGAGCATCAAAATGTTTTTATAACATGAAGAAAATGACTTTTGAATCTTGCTTGCCATTCACAATATAATCATATCTCCAAGTATCTGTTTTTTCCTCCATGAGGATTAAATAAGTTAGTGAATATAAAATATTTAGGACAGTGACCTGAACATAATAACTGCTCAGTAAAAATCATTTGCACTTTCTCTCTTTCCCTTTCTCTCTCCCTCTCTCTTGAGTTTATTTGCTTTTCACTGAATCCTACCTTTCAACAATTGGCACATTAAAAAAGATTCTATCTATATTTTCACTTCTGCTGAAATGCTTGCATTAATTCATCCTTTGATCATTATTTTGTGAAGGCTGTCTTCACATTCTTGAAAAAACAACTATAATTATTGCTCAGTGAGATGAAACCTCACATCATAACTAAATAGCTATTGATTGATCATGAAGATAATTAAGAGCTTAAGTAAATAATATGCTTTATTTAAAAGCTGTCTACTTTCATGCCATTATTTTTAAGTTTTATATCCTACCAAAATAGCTTATCTCAGTAAACTTGGTAAAAAGGAAATATAAAAAGACCTTTATGAAAATATGTATATTAACAACAATAAGTAAAATATTTGTCAGAGGTGAGAATTTTTCCTTAATGCCAGAGATTGAAGGTTAAGAAAACTCTACTTCAGTAAATAAATTAGCATCTATCAAATGTCCACTGAATGCACACTTTATTAGTAAATTTTAGCTTCATCATTCTGGTGGGAACTGCACATTTATTTTCTTGCTTCATGCTCTTTGAGAGGGAGATACGTCTTTGTGATATGTAATTAGCTACCCTATGTTACCGATGGAGACATTCAGATTTATACTCACATACCCTCTCACCATTAGTCTCCTGTTAGGTGCTACTTATTCTGATAGAACTACTAAGAAGTACATAAAATATGCATAAATCCTATCTAATGACTCCAATTAAATATACCTCCAAGAATGTTCTTAGTGAAATTCATGTACATTTTTCTTTCTAGGGAGTTATTATTCGGCATTGTAGCATATGTTTTATTACAAACTTGGAGCTCATTGATGAATAGTGATGGTGTTGTAAATCAAATCAACAGCTTAATTAAATTACTTCAGTAGGAGTTGAGGATGCTTTCCCCCCACTCGGTGAGCATAAACTCAGTGGTCAGCTCAGGGCTGGGTGGCAGAGCTCTGGGTGGTCTAACCCTGGCATGGGACTCTTACCTGAGGCCCTCCCCCTCTGGAGAGTTCTGTCTGCAGTACTCCAGCGTGTAGCTTTCGGTGGCCTCTGGGTTAGCAGGCCGCCAGCGGACTGTGGCTGTATTCCAACACACAGTACAGTCCTCGGCCCGGATCCCCGGGGTGGAAGGTGCTAGAGAGATGAAAGCCCAGTCAGCTGTAAAGCAAGCAAGGCAGCAGTTTCCCGGAACCTGGGAAGCATCGTTAGGCATGACTGTATTTTGCTTTTTGATTAAAAATACATTCTGAGGGAGACAGTATGACTTGGGTTTGATTTCCTGCACCAGAGAATCGAGCATCAATGGGGTGAAGCCCTGGAGGTCCCCCTGCACTGTCCCGGTGGCCCAGGGCCTGAGCAGCACCAAATCTTCAGGCCTTTGCACTGAGCCACCAGTGCAGCTAGCCAAGAATTGCTGATGGGCTCCGAGCCTCCTGAGCACCACCTAGGGGAGCCCCATCCCTCTCCCCTTGTTGCACCCACCAAGACATTCTGAACAGCTCTGCAACCTTGTCCTTTGGTATGATGCACCCAGCCCCTTAAACACTGCTTAGGAACCCCCCAAATGCATTTGGAGGGCCAGGAGAATGGCTCAAGTGCACGTACTTAACATACGCCAGGCCCTGAGTCAGACCCCAGCACCTCATGCCCCTCACCCTCTCTAAAAATGCAGCACCAGGGATGCCACATTTAATATGTATATTTAATATAATATATCTCTCCTGGGTTGAAAAAGGTTTAATATTTTATAGAGTAAAAAGCCCCCTCTGCCTTCCAAATAGCTCAGTGTCCATCCATCCCACAGACATGCTCGCCCTAAGCCCCAGTTTCCTTATATAGATGCAAGTAAATAAAATATTTTTGTCTGTTTTTTTCTCTATATAAGGTGGCCATGCTGTTATTAAAGGCCTAAAGGATGGGAATGAGCCATTTCTCCACCTTAACCCCTGGAGGTGGTTTGAAAGTTTACAAAGGCAATGCAAGCTCAGCTTATACCACAGCTGCAGCATGACCTTGTGGAAAGGTCGGACCAGGGCTCTGCATCCCCTGATGAACATATCTGTTGGAAGTCGGGGCTTCTGACATCCGCATGATGAAGACCGGAGTGACTCACCTTAGCAAACACAACCTCTGGCTTCCATGTACTGCTTCTCTTGTCTCCTAGGCTCCTCCCTCCTTTCCCCTCCCCTCCTCTCCTCCTTTCTCTCCTTTCCTCTCCTGCCCTTTTTTCCTTCTTCCCTCCCCTCTGCTCCCCTCCCTTTCTCTCCCCTCCCCTACTACCTTCTCCTCCCTTCCCCTACTCTGCCACCCTCCTCTCCTTCCTCTCCCCCCTCCCATCCTCCTCTTTCTTCCTTTTCCCTTTCCTCCCCCCCACCTCTATTCTTCTCCCCTCTCCCTACTCCTCCCTTCTGCTCTCCTCTACCTTCCCTTTCACTCCATTAACCCCCTCCCACTTCCCTCTCCTCCCCTCTCCTTTCCAAAATTTCCCCTTCCCTTTCCTATTACTGTTTTAATGATCAAGGCTCATATACTTGGTGTGGTGCTTGCACAGTTTGTTGTGGTACCAGGGAATCCAAGTGGCAGTGCCACCAAGATCATGCTCAGCAAGTGAAGTGTGTCCAATTCTCCTTGGCCTCCTGCCTGTGAGGCAGGTGCTCTACCACGGAGCCCTCCCCAGGTCCCCTTCTGTACTTAGTCTTAAAGTCCAAGAAATGCTGGCAAACATGTTATTGCATGCTCCATGCCCAGTGATGTTTCTGAGCATGTCTACTATTATGCTTCTTAAATGGAGAACCTCTTCAACACATTACTTTTGAAGAACCCTTGGGAAGAAGCCCTTCCTAACCCTGCCCCTGCCCGGAGCTCTCTTGACTGCCTTTCTGGAGTATTCTAATTATAGCTGTGCACAACTAGATAATGATCTGTAAAAGCTTGTTTCTCCCCACCTGACCCCCACCTCCACACTTGACTGCAAGCTTTTCAAGAACAGAAAATCAGTCTAATCTATCATTACATACCCAGCCTCATACAACATGCAGCATGCAATGGCAGTAGGTACTCCCTAAGTAGACTTCTTTGGCTGCCCTTAGCAGCCTGTGAAGAAACGAGTATTGCTCTCCGCTTTCCAACACCCCTTTAATGTTTCCTTACCGGTTCTGAAAAATGCCCTTTCACTGGGCAGGCTACACCCAGTAAAGTTCACAGCCATCACCCACACTTGATAGCAGCGGTCAGGCTCCAAATCTTCAAAAACGCAGTAGCTTTCTCTCACCGTCACTCGGTACTCTTCTACCAAGTCTAGCATAAAACACAATCATCAACTCTATATCTTCCAAAGTTAATTCAAAGTCACACTTACTGGGAGAGGGGGGAAGGTCTATGCTTTTTTTCAGTGGAAAACATAGGCTTTTGATTTCATGATGTGATAGCACTTCAGAGTACATAAGAAAGCAAGAGCTTTTGAAAATAATTATTTAATGTAGCATAGAATTACTCATAAATAGCACTGTAGCACTGTCCTCCCGTTGTTCATCGATTCGCTTGAGCGGGCCCAGTAACATCTCCATTGTGAGACTTGTTGTTACTGTGTTTGGCATATCGAAACGTCACGGGGAGCTTGCCAGGCTTTGCCTTGCAGGCAAGATACTCTCAGTAGCTTGCTGGGCTCTCCGACTTGTCAAAAAATAAAAGTATTTTAGTAAGATTATGGATTGGGACTGGGCCTCCTCCACCCAGATCTCCCATCTTCCAGTATGTAGGCGTTACACCCACCAACTGCCCCTGGCACCATGTAATCCCATCAACAGCCAAGACCCAGGGACTATAAAACCCAGCTCCTGGAAGAGAACAGTGCAGAGTCTCCTGCCTCTGAGCCTGGCTGTCCCAACCGGGCCATTGGAGGAGGGTGGGATGAGTTTCCCTCCCAGTCCTGAAGCTGCGCGACACCTTATTATCTAGTTCTTACTCTGGAGTACCTGGCAGGCTACCAAAAGCATCCTGCCCACACGGCAGAGTCTGGCAAACTCCCCATGGCGTATTCAATATACCAAAAGTCAGTAACAATGATGAGTCTTATTCTCCTGACCCTGAAAGAGCCTCAAATGTGGCACTTTCTAAAAATCTCAGGGCTAGAACAAAGGAGACGTTACTGTGCCTGCTCGAGGAAATCGATGAACAATAGGGTTAGAGTGATACAGTAAGTAAGATTATGAGCTTTGTGTACCACAATTAAAGTAACTTTTTTCAGGGGCTAGAGAGATAGTAAATGGATTAAGGCACATTTGCCTTGCATGTGGCTGATCAGAGTTAAATCCCTGGTACTGTGTATGGTCTGCCAAGTACCTCCAGAGTCATTCCTGAGAACAGATCCAGGAATAGTCCCTGAGAACCAAGAAATGCAGGTCCAAACTACTCTCATATTAAAAGTAATATTATTTATACACATGTGTGATGTGTATGTGTGTATATTTATATGCATACATATATGAGTAGAATACATAAAATTCTCAAGGAACGTCAACAATTCAGGACAGTGAGTAATAAATGAAGACCAACCCCATGTTTTCTAGAACATCTTTATAGACAGATTAAAACCATCTGTGGCATTCAATATGACTTTCCAAGTTTCATATTCTGGTTCTTTAGCATGAATTCCAGAATTTCAACTAGAGATTTTACAATTTATAGAAATAATTAAGTTTAAGTTTGGGAGGTGGTGTTTGAGGCCACACCCAGCAGGAGTTGGGGGCCACTTCCAACTCAGAAATCTAGGGTTTCTGCTGGCATCATGAGGTTCCCTGGATGAAAGAAACTACAGTGGGTCACAAGCATAGCAAATGCTTTGCCCTCTGGACTATCTCTCCAGCCCCTTAAGTTTCATAGATCATTAACTATTCAAAGAAATGACTTTGTTGAATATGTACATTTCCTTTTTCTGTTTGTTTGTTTTATCTTCAATATTTTCAAAGTAAATATTATTCAATACCATTCTCAGTACCTACTCTTTTGGGACAATCTGATTATTCTTACTCAAATTTTCTCTCCTTTAAAAAGAACAATTTAAAAAAATTAGGGGCGCAGGGAACAGGGCTCTTTCCTTGCACACACTGATCCAAACCCCAGCACCCGATATGGTCCCCAAAACACTGCCAGGAGTAATTCCTGAGCACCAAGCCAAAACTAAGAGCTGGGTACCACCAGATATGATCTAGAAACAAACTAACAAAAATTAAGCCTATGGTAATCCTTCCTTATTTTTCTTAAATTTCACATCCCTCCATTTAGAAACTAGATTTTTTTTAAAGAAAATTCAGAAATTCTTCATCTCAGCAGTTTTCTTCCACTTGCATCTCTCTTTCCCAATGACCTAACGCTTTCTGGACAGAAATTTGGTTTAAAGAATGCCATAAGGACTTCCACACACTCGAAAAAAAATGTCTCTGCTGGCATAAAAATTATGAACTGTTTTCAAGGGTCTCATTCTTTCAAGTTAAGTTCTGTTTTCCCATTATTCCTTTCAGCCATGCAAATGATAAAATAAAAGGTGTCTTTCCCAGAACACTGCAGAGCATCAGATTAGTGAAAGGATCAACAGAGTTGATTTAATAAATGACACGTAGAATAGGCAAGTGTTTGGGAGAGGTCAGGGAAGTCAAAGCACTTTTTAAAAGTATTCCTGCCAATACACTTGTTAAGAGGAAACTTGGAGAGCTATGGAGTTCCATGATATAGAACTAGGATACATAATCAGGGTACAGAGGAAGAAAAAGTCTAATGTACCAAAGAAGTCAAACCAGAAAATAAACAATAACAGGAGCTTTGGAGTCTGACAAGATCTATGTTGACTGACTCCTGTAATATTTAATCTGTGTGTCCCTGGACAAATAATTCAATCACATCAGCTTTCTTGTTTACCAAAAGGGATAATAGTACCTGCCTTGTTGTTTGTCACAGGGATACAGTAAGAAATCTCCAAATAAAAAAAAAATTCTTAGGGATAAACAGGCAACTTTATTCTACAGCTCATTTTTCTTGCTTTAATTTTTTTAATGTGTCACAGGAGATTGCAAAATATTTAAATATTGTTAATAGTGAAATATAATAAATTCTTTATAACAAATTGGTTCTCTGGCTTTTGAAATAGCATGTCAATCCTACCACATACTCATTTGGTTTCCAAAATCTGAGTGTGCATTCAACAAGCAATTTTGCATACCAGCACATCAGCTCTAACCACCAGAAGTACAATCCAAACTACCATATTTCTAGGTATATAAGAAATCCTAAGGGACTGGATAGATAGCTCAAGCCCATGCTTTGCATACTGAAGGGCCCACTTTACTCCCTGACACCACATGGTCGCCTAAGCACCAACGGGGAGTGAGTTCCAAGGAACCAGCTGAGAATACCCTCAGCACTGCTGGCTATGACCCCAAAACCAAAAAGAAAAAGAAAAGAAATCCTGGTGAATCTAGGTATTTACTATAAGTTTAGCTATAATTACTATAAGGTTCAACTTTAAGATATACGACAGGTTCAACTTACTGATCATTTTCACTTCTATCTAAGCTCATTCAAATGAGACACCAGAAGATTATTGCTTATCTGTGCCCATGACTGGAAATTGTGTATTCTGAATTAAACTTTGTGATTTCTATGTAGCTTTAATCAAAGGTAAATCTGAAAAACTGCCAACCATGACATCCAATACCTGAATTGCATTAAAAGTTTTTGTGGCAACAGTTTCCTACAAAGTGACATACTTTTTTTAATTGAATCATCATGAGATAGAGCATTACAAAATTGTTCATGATTGCCCTGCAGTCATACAATGTTCCAACACCCTTCCCCCTGCCAGTGTAATTTTCCAGCACCAGTGTACCCAGTTTCCCTCCCACCCCTTCAAGCCACCCCCATCCCAGTCTGCCTCTATGGCAGGCTCCTCTCTTCTCTTTCTCCTAAAGTGACAGACTTTAGACCTGTCTTCTAGAAACTTTTTTTCTCTCTGAAGCACTGGTTTTTTATCTCCCTTCTGAAAATGAGAATGCATTCATGGTTTCTGGCATTCTGAAAGCTCAAAGTCGAGTCTGAAACTGAGCTAAAATATTCATCTTGACCATGATGATGATATTAAAGTTATTTTGTTTTCCTTGCTCCAGACTTCCAAATTTGCATGCATGCTACCTCAGCATAAGGCAGTTGATTCACTGCTGTTTTTATAAGAGGCTTTACACATTTTGTGCAAGAAGCCATAGTAGGTATATGTTAAATTATTTGGGATAGAAAAACAGCTCAATTGGTGCATAGTTTACGTGCAGAAGGCCTGGATTCAGTCCCTAGCATCACACTATCCACCAGCACTAGCACCTCCAGAAGCAACCTCCAAGCACAGAGACAGGAGGTGCTCCTGAGTACTGTCTGATGTGATCCCAAACCAAAATAAATACATACTTCACATTGAAATGCGGAAATGTACATATGCATCTGTATTTGTGTTAGCGATCTTACCATTTAATTCTTGGTCATCTTGTGGCTCCTCCATGCAGTAAACTTGGAATGAGTCAATAATATCTTCCCTGTTCACACTCCAGTAAACAGCAATCGTTGTGCTAGTGGCAGAATTGGGCTCCTGAGGCTCTAACCTTGGAGGCTGTGGGACTGGAGAATAAGCAAGGTCTATTATTGCTAATGCTCCTTTAATTGATTATCTTGTTTTTCTTTTTTCTTTTGTTTTGGGTCACATTGACAATGCTCAGGTGTAGGATAACATTGGTTTGTCGTTTTTTCCTGGCCGCAGAGAACTTAGGTTTATTGGCTTACACCCATCTCAGTGCTCCCAAGGTAGCCCCATTTCTATGTGTTTATCTTTAACCTCTTCTCTGTGCTCTGCTTCCCCAACCAGTCAATCACCTTTATCCCCAAATCAGACTCTGTTGATTTGTATTTGTAAGTGAAATATTGCTTTTCTCCTTCTCTTATGTCCTTTTGCATAGTTTACTTCAGAGCAATGTCCTTTGTGTATAGACAAAGGAAGACAATGCTATGCTTTTCTAACTTGGGAGTTAATTTACTCCAAATAATATTCACTCCTGGGCATCTGTTTTCTCGATTTAAGCCTCAGTTGCCCTTAATTCCTAGCACCCCAAAAGCAGGGTCCCAATGAGGGACTAGATGGACCCACGGCAAGCTGTGAGCTACCCTGGCATCAAAATGGGCCAGGCCAAAGCGCCATGATACTTAACTATAAGAGCACAGTCATGGACAAATTCTGTCATGATCCGAAGAGTAACGACTGGATTAGGACCCTGCCAAGGTTAGGAAAGATTAATCTGACCTGAGCACTGTAGTCTGGAATCTATACATCTACAAGCTTAATGTGTCTCTTACCATGTCCATGCAAAAAGCTCAAAGTCAATGTCTAACATTAAGAAGTAAAATTGGGGCTGGAGCTTGATAGTACAACGGGTAGAGAGTTTGCCTTGCCCACAGTCGACCTGGGCTTGAGTCCCAGCATCCAATATGGTTCCCCGAGCACTGCCAGGAGTAATTCCTGAGCGCAAAGCCAGGAGTAATACCTGTGCAGTGCCGGGTGTGACCCCATAAAGCAAAAAAAAATGCAGAATTAAGAGGAATGGTTATTGAACTAAAGAAAGGAGAAATACATCCTAGGAAATATTTCCTCGAGCAGATCTCCTGGCTGCAGGAGATAGGAAGGAAGGGTTTTCATATGTTGATTGTGCTACAAGACCTACAGCGGCTGCTACTCCGAATGCTTGGAGGTTGGCAGGAGACTAAGGCAGCCAGACCAAGCACTGAGAGACTAGCATAGAGAACAGGAGGAGATGGAAATGAGGGGCAGTGTGAGACTGGAATGGGACACTTAGTGAGACTGGGGAGAATGGAATAAATGGCAACTGCTCACCAACCAGCCTGGCGGCTCGTTCCCTCATTCAGGTGTCCATTGGTGGTGGCTGCAGGCTGAGGTGGGGAAGCAGCTCACATGGCGAGCAAGAGAGAGACTACAACACTGCTGCCATTTACTTATTTTGTGACTACACACTCAGGGGTTACTCCTGGTGGTAATCCGGGGACCATATGGAACACCAGGGAGTGAAGCCGGATCAGTCACTTAAAAGTCACTTTGTTCACCAGCTTGTGAACAAAAATTCAAACAAAACATGGACTCTTCCAGTCACCAAGGATGTTCACTGGAGGCAGCTATTGATATATTTAAGTATGTATTCTTCCAAAATGTTTTCTATGGATTTGTGGACGTGCAATAGCACAGTGGGTAGGGCATTTGCTTGCACGTGGCAAGGTTGATCTGAGTTCAATTCCTCTGTCGTTCTTAGAGAGCCGGGCAAATTACCGAGAGTATCCCACCCACATGGCAGAGCCTGGCAAGCTCCCCATGGCGTATTCAATATGCCAAAAACAGTAACAACAAGTCTCACAATGGAGATGTTACTGGTGCCTGTTCAAGCAAAATCGATGAACAATGGGAGGGCAGTGCTACAGTGCACATATTATACATGAAAGAAATCACAAAAACGAATCTCCAAATGAGATCACTCAATAATGGTATTGTAGTTTTATGTCCAAAGCAATAAACTGATGCAATTTAGAAGATGTATTGAATCATTTGTTTTTCATTCAAAACAAAAACTTTAATAGGTATTTCTAGATCACTAATGCTATATCTTACAATATTAATTTAATCTATATGCACAATATGAATAAATTAAATCCTTTTAAATAAGAATTGCTATGTTGTCAAGGCTAAAAGGACTTGCATAAATAAGACATAAAAACACTTTCTGAAACTACTATCCCCTTTTTCTTCCCAATGGTTTTAAAATTAAAATATAGAAACTGCATAAATAAGAACTCTATAAAATTGCTCAATTACACTTTTTGATATTGAACATAATTCTAGTCTGAATTTTAAAGACAACACTCTTAAGTGTTTACTAAAAAATTTTAAAATTTATAATTATGCACATTGAACATTTATGATATATGGTATAAAACATTTATCATATATCCAACACCATGAACCAAGCGTCGATGCTACTCTCCTCCAAAACACTTGAGACACAAAGCTATTGAACATACTTTACAAATTAAAGAAACGGCTATCCCTATTGTTGAAAAGTTGTCATGCTTGAAATTTTATTTTTATGGATAATGTTTACAGTCAACAATTTCCTAAGATAAGCTTACTGGAATAATATGGGTGAAATTTTATGAGATTCCTTTATTGAACGCCAACACGCGAGGAGAAGAAAACAAAGGTTAGTTGAAGAAGGTAAAAAAGATGATGGGAAGAAATTAATGGGTCTAAAGAATGGAACAAAGAGAGACACAATGAAAAGATTCAAGAAGAGCAAAGAACGGAGGAAATACAAAGCAATGGAAAATTAGAAGCAGAATAACAGAGTAATCAAATACAAGGGCATTAAAGCAGAAAGATTGGCATATGACACAATGCCAAATCTCCACTTACTAGTCATGTTACTTTAGTCCCTTTAAAACATGAAAATAGGGGCTGGAGCAATAGTACAGTGGGCAGGGCACTTGATTTGCACACAGCAGACCTGGATTCAATCCCTGGTACCTCATATGGTCCACTGAACCCCACCAAGAGTAAGACCTGAACATGTTCAGGTGTGGCCCCCAAATAAACAACAATTTAAAATGTGAAAAATATTTATAGTGACAGCATTTTCTCCCAGATTGTTTTAAGAAGCAGATTTTGGATTTAGCAAAATATATAACATCGAGTGGGTAGGGTGTTTGCCTTGTATGCGGCCAACCTGGGTTCGATTCCCAGCATCCCATATGGTCCCCCAAGCACTGCCAGGAGTAATTCCTGAGCGCATGAGCCAGGAGTAACCCCTGTACATTGCCGGGTGTGACCCAAAAAGAAAAAAAATGCATAACACTGTGCCGGATAATCAACCAATGCTGAAATGGCCTTGGTAAGAGCCAAAAAAGGAAGGGGAAAGGCCAGTTGCTCATGAAAAGAGGAATACATCATTGATAGATCATAGAAAAAACTACAAAGGGAAGGGATGCACGGTCTGTCCAGAGTCAGTCTAACAAGGCACCTCCTGTCACTAATGGTGACTCAGAGACTCAGAGAAACTGATTCTATCTCTGAATTTTCTGTTTATCTTCCCAGCAGGAAATTAGTATCACTTGTCTAAAGGATCCTGCCTAGGTAAATGTGGTTCAGTAAGTGATCATGTGGACCAGGCTTAGGGAGTGCCAAGCAGAATGTATCAATTGTCTGCAATATCTTCCAAGCAGTGTTGGAGAACTTGAGGCAAGAACATGGAATGTGTCCCACCAACTATGAATTATGCACTGAGTTCTAACTGCCTCTTTGAAATGGAAACATACTTGGGGTCAGAGAAATAGCACAGCGAATAGGGCATTGGCCTTGCATGTAGCTGACCCAGATTCGATCCCCCCAGATTCTACATGGTTCCCCAGGCCCACCAGAAATAACTCCTGAGTGCAATGCCAGGAGTAACCGCTGAGAACTACCAGGAGAATCTCAAAAATAAAAGGTAAAGGCCCTCCCATTGTTCATCGATTTGCTCGAGCGGGCCCAGTAATGTCTCCATTGGAGGCTTTGTTGTTACTGTGTCTGGCATATCGAATACGTCACAGGGAGCTTGCCAGGCTCTACCATGCGGGCAAGATCCTCTCGGTAGCTTGCCGGGCTCTCCGAGAGGGGCGGAGGAATTGAACTCGGGTCGGCCATGTTGGCTGCGTGCAAGGCAAACGCCTACCACTGTGCTGTAAAATTGATAACATATATATACGTTAATATATATACTTCCCAATGAAATGACAAATTAAAAAAGTAATAATTGAAACCCTTTAAATGACCAGATTTTTAAAAGTGTCGGGAATTTAGCAAAGTTTTTAGACTTGAAATACATATATGTAGCACTGCACTGTAGCACTATTCTCCCGTTGTTCATCAATTTGCTCAAACAGCACCAGTAATGTCTCACAAAAAATTGTGAGACTTGTTACTATTTTTGGCATATTGTCATGGGTAGCTTGCCAGGCTTTGCCATGCGGGTGAGATACTCTCAGTAGCTTGCCAGGCTCTCCAAGAGGGGCAGAGAAATCAAACCCGGGTAAGCCGTGTGCAAGGCAAACGCCCTATCTGCTGTGCTATCGCTCCAGCCCACATATATGTATCTATATAAAATATTGAAATACTTTATAAATACAGGCTTTCCAAGAGGGGCAGAGGAATTGAACACAAGTCAGCCGTGTGCAAGGCAAATGTGCTCTACCCACTATACTATCGAGCCTGGCAAGCTACCGAGAGTATCTCGCCTGCACAACAAAGCCTGGAAAGCTACCTGTGACATATTAGATATGCCAAACACAGTAACAACAAGTCTTGCAATAGAGATGTTACTGGGCCTGCTCGAGCAAATTGATGAACAACGGGAGGACAGTGCTACAGTGCTCATAAATATAGATATATACCTAATGTGTATCATCACATTCCTAAAACATTTTCACTGAAAGTATTATTTTCCAAAAACTATTCCATAGATGATTCTATGAGTGATAACCGGATTTACAATTCCTATCTGACAGAGGTACATAATGGACCCACATTCTTT